GTTTGAACATTAGGGTTGCTGCCTTGATCCATTTCCTTATTTGTACTCATTTCTCTGACTTTGCAATGTTCCTCTTGATATGAATGGAACTAGAAGAATAAAAGAACGCGTTTTTAACTTATTAATAAAATATTTTCCTCGTATTGTTTAGATATTTGACAAATGTCATTTATTTTACAAACCGAAATATATAGGTTCTGTTGCTGGCTGTATTCAATATTTAAATATTCGATAATAAGGCATTGACGACGAATTTCCCTTCGACTACTTGATTATCTTTCCAATATGGCATTTTAAAACATTTAGCAACTAACTGATCTAAATCTACGGCAATTATCTGTGTTGATAAATCCCAACATAAGTAGATTCCTACGAATGTTGAAGAGATTCCATATGGAATATCGTAAAAGTTGGTGACGTATGAATATGTTTTAACTACCAGTTTATATTGATTTGGTGGAATTTCAATGACGTTTATGACTTCACATACTGATCCGTTCTTCAAGAGCACCCAACTGTCACGAATATTACCACTCATCAAGCGACAATATTCAAATTTTAAGCCTTTATATAGCAAAAAGTTAGACGACTGAATATTAGCCACAATTTGTCTCTCACTATGTCGGCACACTGGTATAATTTTAGGCTTTTTATATTTTTTCTTAGTGTGATTACTTTGTTTTTCTAAACGACGATATAATTGTTGAAGAAGGTGATGTGGTTTTCGAAGAAATTTACGGAAAAATGTCATGTTATCTTCATAAGGAAATGCCGAATAACTATTCGCATTGCCTAGCATTCTTACATCTTCAACAACATGCAATAATCCATGAACATTGTATGAAACGAAGGTTTTCCCATAAATTTCTTCACAAACTTCTACATAAGCTTTAAAAGCTATTTCTGCGTATTCGAGTTGAGCAGAATGAAGTAATAAAAAATGTTCATAGGCCTCTTTATCCAGGATTTCGTAAAAAATTACCGGACCGAGATATAAGAGATTTAAACAAAATTCAACAAAACAAATTGTATGATTGCAAAATCCCTAATCTGACAGTAATTTTGGCTATATCTGTTCGGCTAAGATCTCTAAACTCATATTTTTTGTCGACAATTGCAGATATAAATTTCTTTTGAACTCCTAAACAAATAAGATGCATGTATTCGAATGGAACACGTGTTACCGTGTTGAAACCCAATGATTTCAACGCAGCTTCTTTTGTCGGAAGGTGATGAGTTTTGTCAGTCTTATATAAATAATCGGTATCATTACGAGGTTTGCTGGAATATTGGCAAAAAGTCATTCGCCTGTGAATCGATTCACCTGTGACTTTACATTTCGAACACTGATTTTTTGCATTATGACCACAGTGATTCAAAATAAGTGCTCGTGTGGGGGCGTCGACAATGAATGCTCGAATGTATACAGGAATATGTTTTTCATTAAAAAATTATCCACCAGATTTATTGATAGTCAGATATTCATCGACGAAAGTTCTAAAAAAGTATTCAGCATCTTCTGGTTTTTTTTTTCCCTCTTTAAACCCCAATTATAGATGGATTATCATGCAAAATATTAATTAAACGAAACTGTATAGGCCATAATTGCGCCGTAGTACTACGATGTATTGACATTCCATCTGTATGAATATCGATTATCAAATAATCAGGGATCAATGATAACGGCAAAACACGAAGTTTTTTAATTAATTCAGATTCGAAACCGATATGGAAATATTCACCAGGATTTACTATAATCAATTTGAAGGGTTCACGAGTGGTTTTTAATAATGTTTTTGTAGTTAATGGCAATTTATGATGACACGGATGTTTAAGCAAAAAAGACAATAGGATATCACCTTGTGAATGATTGATATTTGTCCGTATAACAATTTCCGCTAATTCTTTTCCGAAGTTACTCCGCTCGTTATTAGGAAAATCGTCGTCAATGATATCTGAGTCATCATGAAACTTTTCATAATAATATGTATCGTGGATACTATTGCACCCTTCATCATTATCTAATTCTTCGTCTGATTCTTCAGTACAATATGAAGCAAAATCACTATTTGTGTTGTCTTCAACATCAGAATCTTTATTATTATTTAAATCTTCCGGATTAAAATTTACAATTTCGTTTAGATTGTCAAATTGTCGTATATCTTGATTAAAAACAGATGAATTTTCAGATGGATCATCATTCATGTCTATTGCACAGCTAGGGATTATCGATACATTGGCCAATGATGCATTATTCGACAGAGGCGAATTCCCGATGTCGGACGATCGGATACAATTTTTTCGTCTTGCCTGTTCTTTAAGAAAATATCGTCTTTGTGTTTTGGGTGTGACGATTTTCTTTTTTCACAATGTCTCATCATATTATATATCAATAAAGGAAATATAATCGTACAGGTTACACATAGAAACAGCATCATGACTGAAAATATATTGCGTATATATAATAAAATATATGTCGTCAAACATTCCCACATACATACGATAGTTCTATGAATTATACAAACAAAAAGATAAATACTTACCTGAAACAAATAGATGCAATTTATTATATTCCCTCAATGCAGATATTGTGTAAATGTCGAACGAAATGATTAAATTCTAGAACAAACTAGAATAGACGCCAAAAAATGAAGACGGGAAGTTTAATGCAGTCGAACGACCAATAACAACTGAACCCGTCCGAAAATCGACGATAGTTTCTATGTATTCATCTAAGCCTCATATTACCGTCACGGGATGCAGATCATTTTATAAGGCATACTACGCTCATATATCACTCAATCGGTGTAGCGCATAAGTGTGACAAACTCGTCATATTGAGCTCACTATATGCCTATTATTCTACATATTCTTTTGGACGTCATAACGCTTGCACAAAATGTAAGATTTCGATGAATTCATATTCTCATTCTGTTCAACTCACTTGATGCAACATATAATGATCTCATTGTGAGTTCACTAAAAAAATATATGACGTATGTTCAATATGCTGTAAATACGGATACAAAGATAAAAGTTCACCCAATAACGATAATTTGATTTCATTATACTGCCCGAATATGTATACAATAATCCACAGCATTTGTACCCAAAGATGTACTTCAAATTTAGACTAACATTTGAGCGCATAAGATGCCATCACACGGTGGAAATAATATAATGCCAATATGTAAAAAATTATTTCAACGCACGCCATGATAATCATGAGTGTTTATCTGGGGAATGTCTCTTAATTAGACGTTACATATATATTATTGTCAATGATATTTTGTTAACTTTAATACATGTGCATTAATGGTACAGCACCGAGTATATAAATTCGAATTTTGTACACTAAGTTTGTAAATGTAATAATAATTGATATAGTGAATGTACAATAATTTTGTACAGTGTTGAAACCACCTAAATGTTCGATTCCGCATAACGGGTGAAACTATTTTCTATCAGTTTGGGTTTCCCCCCAGTTTTGAATGCAACACTTGTCGTTTTGTTTGCGTGAGCTTTGAGGCCATTCAGTGTACAGTATTCCTCGAGAGCTTTGAGTTTTTTAGCTATATCGATGTGCGAATGAGCTAATATTACCGTGTCGTCTCCATATGTTATAATGTCGCACAGGTCATTAATATTCAGACCTGTTAGACCTTTATTTCTGAAGAATAATTCGAATTAGGCTAGAAACAGCAGAAGTAAGCCCGGGCTTAGTGATTCGCCTTATAGTACGCCTTCGGAGACTAGAAATGTGTTCGAGAGAGTACCACCTGATTTGACTTGAATATTTGCCTGGTCGTATAGTGATTTAGCTATTCTAATAAATTTCAAGTTATTTCTTTCCTATATAGTTTCCCCCAGAGAGGTGCATACGGAATAGAGTCAAATGCTGGCTTGAAATCGACAAAGATCGCGTAGACTTCGCGTTTCCCTAGTCTTAGTTGTAATTGTATCGTGGTCGCTCTCTACCCAACTGCGTCTTTTTCGGAAACCCATTTGAGATTCAGCTAGAATATAAAGATGTATAGTCAGCGTATTCAGTTTGACTCGAAGAATTCCTGTGAATATTTTTGTCACGCTATTTACTAGGGCGATTCCAATTAGCCAGGTTCTCTTTTTCTGTTTTTTTTTTTTAAATCATAGTGAGTGAAATCTTGGCCCAGTTTAGCGAAATCGATTCGTTTTTAAGTATTTCATTTAAAAGATTTATAAGATATTGTAGGTAGTTCGGAGGCAAGGACTTGAGGAATCGCAAGATACTTCTTCAGAACCTGGCGCTTTGCCGTATTTGCTTTTTCTGAGTGCTATTTCAAGTTCTCTGGACGAGATTCCTTTATCTAGGATAAGATAACCTGGGCCGTAAAAGGTTAGGTTGTTGTTTAGTCTGGGACTGTATAATTGTGGTATAAAAGTCATTCCAGCTTTCAAACGGAAGGGAGAACCTGAACCCTGAGTTGCCGCGCATTTCCGTAACCGTTCGCTCCCGTTCGTGCATCCAGTTGCGTTTGCTGATTTTACGCGACCCCATAGATCAGCACCTATGGTTGCGTTTCTCGATTTTACGCGTCCCCAAAAATCGACAGAATCCGTTAAGTTATCGCATTTTCTTATAGGTTCCGGCAGAGCTCTCATTTTAGCAGAGTTGGACCTGTTCCACCCCAACTCCCAGGTCATACCGGCTTGTCAGTTCCTGCGGGTGACAAAAGAATTGGCTGGTGCCCGCCTGCCTTGCGGATACATGAGCGAAGGGTGGACAGCCGAAGGTAACGTAGGTTGGTTCTCGAAGATATTTTTCGGATTTTTCGCTATCGGTGTCGTGTTAAGAATATACGTTACAGTATATACTTATTTGAGTTTTATAGATTTGCATATTTTACCTTTAATAAAGTTCACCGTAATATGCCTTTATGATTGTAAGAAAATTTGTAATGTAAACAATAATATTAAATATATTTGAACTAACATTTTTTATTTTAAATTAATTTAGACATTATTAAAAATATTATGTAGGAGAATGCGACTCGCCTGGAAGAGTAATGTTCAGCCACGTGTTTGTCAACAAAATTCTTAGAAAAATAAATTGATTGCTTTGCTGTCTTATACATCTTAAACTCTACACCTTGTTCTTGATAATTTTAATCTTTATACAATTTTAATAATTGTAAGGCATACGCCAGAACCAAAACAATGTAATCTTAAAGCATGGGGCGTATACGTCCCACACGGCCTGAACCGAAAGTGTCTTAACATAAGATCGGTCCGGCACGAAACGTGTTAAATTAGTTTAGATGAGTTACAATTATTTGATTTTTGAAAAAATCTCAATTTCGAAAATTTGGTGAATTACATTTTAAAATTAGGGTATCGATTTCTACTCTTGAATCCTGAAACTCTGATTGGTATAATTAGCGTGATTATTTTCAGTCAAAACTTTCAATAAAAATTTGTGGGGCATTGTTTTCTATTCAATATGGTCCCTTATTAAACCTCATATGCTAAAAATGATCAAATCTATAATAAACTCCCTAAGCGAAAAACATTTTTCGTGTATTTATATATCTAATGAACTGTTGATAAATATTAAAATCATATCCAGTATATCTGTTGACATATATTTCATTGAAACCTCATTGTGAAGAGAGACGATGTTCACGAGAATTCTTTCGATAGATTAGTTAGGTTCGATAGGAGTTCCAATCGAAACTAAAGAAACGAAACATTAAGCAAGCGTGTCACAACTCCAAGCGTTTAGCATCAAAAAAATGTTGCGAAATGATTCTCACGATAGCCATTAGATACAGAAAACATTGAGGACATTTCTCAAAGTACACCAAGTTTAAAAAAAAACACATTGCATAGGAGTAGTGGCCGAAAAACTGTGCATGTTTAAAATATATAGTATATAATTAATATCCATGTATACAATACAAATTAAGATTCAGTTATTGTCATCTTGATAATAAATGATATCTTGATTATGAGGTAATGATCTAAGCATAAGTTATGACAATAATTAAGATTATCATAAACTAAAGCTCATATATTGGAATTTTCTTGACACTTGTTATTGACATTTAATATTAGTACTAACTATCAGAACGCACAATGACAAACTTAAGACTTATTATTGGACAACTTGGTTTCACCGAGGTGCTCCTGGATTTCTCTAAACGATTTACCTTTAGTCTCAAACATGACAAATATGACAAAAAACAAGAATATAATTTCAGCAACAGCAAAGGTATAAAAAATCGCGTGTTCACCCCATCCATCGGCGACGACTTGATAAATTTTAGTAACGATAGCACCAGTAATAGAACCATATATAGAAATTAACATAGTAGCCCAAGCCTTGACATTAGTAGGATAAATTTCGCCAAGTATGGCGTACGGTAGAGGACCATTTCCAAATGAATAGAATATAAAGAATAAAATCATTGTTACCACTGGGAGCCATAGTATAACGGAAACGTCAACAGCACAATATTTTAAATGGAAATAAATGGCTATAAATAATAAACAAAGGGAACATCCGAATGTCGAAACAATCATCAATGGTTTCCTGCCAAATCTATCTACAACAAGAGTGGTAATACCAGATGATACCAATGTAACTATACCCATAATAATCACTACAATATCCGAATTCAACTGCACATCACTTTGATTAAAGATAATACTTCCATATGCTTGGATTGCACCGATGCCAGAAAATTGTTGAGCAGAAAGAATTCCCAACACTATAATGGTAGCTTTTCTATTTCCTTTAACAATCACAAGATCTATCAGTCTGCCACTGTTACGTTGTTCGATTTCCACTAGGTCGGCCATTTCTTGAAGTTCGTCTTTGACATCCTTATTACCACGTAGCCAAATCAATGATTTCTCAGCGGATTCGCCACGTTTATGCATCAGATAAAAGTAAGGCGTTTCCGGCATCCAGAAGAAGGAGATGAAGAATAGTATTGGAAAAGTCATACAAATGAGAGCCAAGGTCTGAAATATGAAAATCAAATAAAATATGGTGTATTTTATAAAAAAAAAAAGTGAATTATTTATATTTCACAAAGTATCTATATACCTGTCGCGTTACGAATGGGCCAATTGAATAGCATATGAGAGTTCCTACATTAAAGCAGATGTTGAATATGGTACCAAGAGCTCCTCTGACACTGACCTGGGCGATTTCACCTACGTATAGCGGAATCGTCGTATAAGTCATACCAACGCCAATTCCCGTGATCAATCTACCAATCATCAACCATTTATAGGACTGTGCAAAATATATAAGAATCCAGCAGATTAAATTAGGAAATGCTGTGGCGAGGAGAGTCGATTTTCTTCCAACACGATCAACCATAATTAGACTGACTATCGGTCCGAACACTGCACCTATAACCAAAGCACTAGCTATCCAGGAACTTTGACCAGGTGTTACAGGAAATTCATTTTCGTCATTAACAATTTTTGGAAGCGATGGCGATGACCAACCAAATCCTGTTCCAGCGACCAGAATAGACAAATTGGCTAAAATATTTTTAAAAAAACTTATTAACGTTCGATCTTTGTTATTTAACACTAGAACAACTGAACCTGTAAAAATATCGGATTTCGGATTTCTTGTTTCAATTCAAAAACATTATTAAGGTGTTTGATATACGGATTTTATATTGACTTTTGTAAAGATAAAAGAGCGAATAAATATTCCAATATATTTTCCATAAATCACTCTAATTTTCAAGTTCTGTATACAAGATACCTAAATATACCAAAAACTGCGTTGGTAGTTCTAGTGTTAAATAATATTTCTAATTAGATAATTTATTTCATGGGTAACACTTACCAAGCACCCCGACAAAGAGCTGCGTTCCGATCCTGGAATTGGACACTTTCTTTTCGGTGGACATCTTTGCTTTGTCAACGTTTGTAACCGACTAAATGATAAGTGTCCAATGTTTTGGATAAATGCTGCAGTCATTCGAAAATGAGGACCGTTCACAGCGCTGACGAGATAGTCTCCGTATAATCTTATTTTATCAAACATGCTGTAATACGGATTATAATGCATAGATCGAAAGATCCAAGGCCATATTTTTAGATTAATTTAATTTTTAATCTGACAATCCTGATAGGCTGTTTCTCCATTTGACTGAACCGTACTATGAAAGAAAGATAAGATATTCTGACAATAAATTTCGAATTATTTTCGTAAATAACAAACATATTTTCAATATCCGAAATTGTTCCATTTGTTTCAAAAACAATATTTTCTTTAACAATGATATACATAGTGTCTGCTAGATATCAAAAAGGTATTCTATCGCGTCAGAGTGTAGTCAGAATGTAGTTGAAATAGCGAAAAAAGTAATTAATTTGAAACTAATGCTCCGGTTTCTGGTGTCGCAACGTGTATGCATTTTGCCAGAACGGTCCATCAGGGAAGGACAAGAACGTTTGAGGCAGCCCTTACATTGCATCAACTACATTATATAATGTGATTATGGAAACTTTCACATTCGTCTGTGACTTTGCTTGGGTAATGTTATGCTCATTACCCGATAGTGGAATGAACCTACATGAAAATAAAGCCAAAACTACAAGAATATAATATGCAATCATTTAACGTACGTTTATAGGTTTAACATCTATATTTTATCAATACAAAAATTTACAATGAAAGAAAGTTTGAAACCAGTTAAAGATATAGAAATCGTGAACGTTCTGAGTCGATCAGTATGCCTAAGATACCATATCATATCACTCATACAACTCTAACACACATTCATACATAGTCATTCAAAAAACACACAATATCATAAAATAACGTAACCAAATAAAATTAACGTAATTATGATTACGTGGCCGGTAGGATTGTCGTGCGCTGTATCCTTATGTGGGAATACTCCAGATGTCCAACGTATATATTTCTCCTTGGCTATCCAAGAATCGTCATTTTCGGTAATACTGGATATAGCACATTGGTCGTTGTGGATCAAGATACCTCTCCATGAACGTGTCACACGTTTCCCGTTTTAAACTACTGGAGTAGTAATTGTTATTCGGCCGTTAATTGGGCCCTCGGTCGCCTATTTAATTTATAATTTTACATAATAATATATCAAGGACCGGATCTTTATTTGCGCTATTTAAAATTAATTATTGATAATACCTGTCCGATGTATAGTCGCCAATTTCGTCTTTCGGAGATACACGTTTCTAGCTCTGTACTGTGCCACAGCCGGCGAACGAAAGGGGCGAAAAATGTAGGAGTTGGCAAAAATCTGATGACGCGACTAGCGACATGAACATTAATTGTCAGTACTAATTGTGCAGATTACTGCTCGATCGGTAATAGTATCCGGCGATCGGTTTCGTTGGTACGTTACATAGGTTTGACTTTGCTTTTCTTTATACCAGACTGCAAAATCAGCAGATACCATGCGGATTCCATGGGCTGTGCCTCGTTCAGGGTACGTGGTCTGCCTTAATAAAATGATTGAACGGGATGAGTACGAAAAAGCGGCGATTTTGACTAATTTCCTCGGCGTTTTGAACTCTCTAGAAAAGAAAGGGTATGATAAAAAGCTGCATCCAATTATGAAAAGTATTAGGAGGAACTCCCGTAACGCCGAACAGCACCTAGCACCGGACACTACCAGTATTTGCGAAACTAAAAATCATATTTATATTTCTGTTGCATGGTTTCAATATGTTCAGTGGGCATAGTGATTGATGTATGCGACAGTACAATTACAATCGTCTAATATGAACGTCGGTATTGTAGAAAAGGATTGTCAAGGAAGCGGCCTATATTTGTTTGTCTATTCCTATTTCTCTCTAACCTGTCTTTGAGGAACTGAGAATGTGCCTGTGTTAGTACAGTAGCCCTAGTGGCGCTCTGCCTATCTATTGAGTATGGCACTCAGTAGTATAACAGGGCCGGTTCTGAACCACGATTCCTGTAACCGACCTATACCGACACTCTAGAACCTTCGAAGGTGAGTGTCCGTGCTAAGTTGCTGAGGTTCGCTCCCAGAGCCGACGGTCCTCTCGCGCGACGTTTTGATGGACCCCTTGCCCCCCACCCCGGGGAGCCTTCTAGAAGCTTCGATGGACCCCTTCGTCCCGATTCGTGGAGATTTCAGACGGCAGAATTCAGCCGTTTTCATCTTGAACGTTATCTCGCTGAATTGTGCATCGAGGATGCAGCAGCAGCAGCATCAATTCCAAGAAATTTGTCAGCCATTCGATTCCAGGAAGCCTCCGCGCAGGTTTCAAGCGGCAGCCCCCCGACCCCCGTGCAGACTTCAGGCGGCAGCCGAACACTGTTTTGACCTTGTTATTCAGAGTGTCGAATTACTCGCAGAAGATAAGCAACCCTTGTGCACTTCGGAAACTTTTTGATGTAGAGTTCGAGCTCAAAGTGCGCAATTCGGGTAGGTGTCTTATCGCTCGAACCGATGCAAAACAATTCGAGGAAAACCTTGGAAGCCTCGTGCAGGTTCGTGCAAGTCGAAATGGTTCGCGGTGGTGGGGTCAAAGTCATTCTAGAAAAATGTATGTATCGGTTGTTCAAATGCGCAATACCGAATGGTATCTCGCAGAGTCGTGCATCGAGAATGCAGTCCCTCATCCTCCGAGGTGTAAAATTACTCGTAGGAGATACGTAAGCGCGCGACACAGCTTCGTAAGAGAAGGGCTAAGGTTCATCCGAATATTCTAGAACGTAAGTCGCTCCGTTTGGAAGATGCATCGACCTTGACATTGATTCCAAGAATCTCTGTCGACGATTCGATTTCTATAAATTTCCAAAACCTCCCATCCCCATTTTAGTCCTTAAGAGTTTCCTATAAAAGGAGGAGCTCAACGTGCCTTCGTTAGTTTGCTGTGACAGTTCGACCGATGTTAAATAAGAGGAAACAACGCGAGCTCAGAATTCGAATACAGTTACTATTAAGGAACATCGCGGAAGTGAAACATTTGATCGAAGCTAAAAGCAATTATAACAGCATTCTACGAAATCTAAAAAAAACTTCATGTACAATAAAAAATGGATTTCTCAACAATTAACAAAGTCGGTCGATTGGATGACTATCTTCCGATAAAGAAATTGGCTGAGTTGGAACCCTAGAAAGAATACAAAATCACCAGAATAAGAAAAGTTCAAACCAAATATGGAACGAGACTGACCCTCAATGTAGAAAACAGCTTTTCGACGTTTCTACCTGCAAGGATGGCTAAAGCTTTGAATGACGACGACGATCTATTGAAGAAAATGATGCAAGCCTGTGAGGAGAATCGAGTCCTCATGCGTTGTCTCGGCGGGCGGTACAACCAGATTGAGTTCCAATATCTATAAACTTTGTACTCATGTTAAATAAATATACAACTTATTATATCTTATGTCTTTATTCATAATCAAAAAATATACATTCCGACAACCAATTCCTTAACAATTTAACGTTTTCCATCGAACGTTGGAAATGGGGAGCATGATGATGCGAACAGCGGGTGAGTAAGTTCTTGCGCAGGTTTTGCAGTGAAGGGCATCTCACATCTCCAAGATCCACGATGTGTTCGGATCGTCCTATGAAAGCTCCCAACCAACTCTTCTTCTCTAGTCCTTTCACATAGATCTTGGAGGCATCATGCAGAATAACTCGAAGAATTTTCTTAGCGTGATTGTAAGGTACATCACCGGAGGTCCAAGAGATCCCATGAAAATTGCGCTCTAACCAGTGTTTAACGCTTGTATTTAACGGGTAGATGTTTCCACGGACAAGGTGGTTGAAAGAGAAACGTTGCAGGCTCAGAAAAATTGCTGCCGACTCCAATCACGGATAGCTCCTTCAGGACGAACTTGTTCGACGGTTTCTTGAAACCTTGTACGTCCACGATGAATTCCATTTCTCGATGAACTGCATAGGGGCCTACGATTGCAGCCTCTTTATACCAATTTTTTCACCTCACCACTGATCGGGTTGTATTCGACTATACGATCGTGCAGGATCAGGCAGAATGCCGATGTATCGGCAGGGAAATTGTCTTGCCCCTTAAATTCCAGACGAATATCGACGGGTCCGAGTTTGAGGGACTCGTTTTGTTTGGAGCAATCGATAACGACCAATGGAGCGTACTCGAGAAATTCATTCTTCTTCAGCAAAGGCTCGGGATCCTTGTCATAGTACGTAGCTTGAAAGTTTACATATGATCAACGTTAAGATTCAGATTTCCGTAGGGATAACATTGCGAGTTCAAAAAGAGCTTAACGTCTCTGACGTTGCAGTGATCAAAGTGACTAGCGTTCTTATTTTTCTTGTTCTTTCTGCTCGTCTGAAAACCCAGTATCACGTATCGTGGTTTTTCCAACTGAGACGACGTCTTGACGGCCCACACGTGTTTCGAAGTGGTGGGGAGTAGAGGGTACTCGTACAGCTCCCAGGTACGAAAGCTCACGGAGATGGGTGCACCCCTCTCGATGAATCTCAGCAGTTCTATCTTTCGTCGATCTGACACCTTTACATACGGTATCAGCCATTCCAATTTATGAATTACGACTTTGCATTCTTCCGGAGCAGTTTGCACTATTGCAATGACATCGCTCTTTGCTCTCGTCAGAATCAACTCGTGTTTAGCGTTAACGACGATCTTGCGATAATCTTCGGTGAAACCCAGTATCAGACTCAGCGGGATGGATACGTCAAAGTAACCGTCTGCATTGGTCAATTTCTCCCGCTCTCTGACGTCGAGCCAACCGGCGTTCTCCATCAAGGATCGTTGACCGGCACTCAGGGAAGCATATCCCTTCATGAGACTCGTGAGACCGACGTTCTTGTTTCGATCGATCTCTATAGCATTCATTTAGTAGCGAATCTCCTCGAAGAGATGGCAAATGGCATTGTTTACCAGAGTCGTGCTCGCAGTCGCTGTGGACCCATCTTCCTTGACCAGCTTTCCATACACGTGCAGCGAACTTTTGCTCGGTAGTAAGCATAGGTCTTGATGTTGAACGGATATTCGAACCTCGTCATGGCAAATGGCATTGTTAGACTGCCGCTGTGGACCCATCTTCGTTGACCAGCTTTCCATACACTTGCAGCGAACTTTTGCTCGGTAGTAAGCATAGGTCTTGATGTTGAACGGATATTCGAACCTCGTCGCTGTTGTTGAACGTTGACGAGGCGTAAAGTTGATGCGCATGCGTTTCACAGTGTGCTATAGACTTATCGAAGACGATCGGTGTCTGAATGTTCAGCGTTTCTTCCTCCATGGTACGCGGCAGACGAAAAGAACGCAACAGAACAAACGCTTTACTTTCCTCTCGTGACCTTGAATCCTAGATTTTCCAGAAACAAGACGTTTCGACGTGTTAGCGCCTTGAGAAGCGGTTGACGACTGATCCCCCTTTGGCATATCAGTCCACTATTATAACCATTGACGATTTTTCTATTATAGACGATACCCATTATCGCATGGATCTGACGTGCAGCCTGATCGTTATGACTTCTTTCCTCTCGCGACCTTGAATTCTAGATTTTCCAAAAACAAGACGTTTCGCGCCTTGAGAAGCGGTCGACGACTGATCCCTCTTTGGCATATCGGTCTACTATTATAACCACTGCCAATTTTCCTATTGTAGACGATACCCATTATCGCATGGATCTAACGTGCAGCCTGATCGTTATGACTTCTCCTTGAAAATTCACCAGGTCCCCGTCTTGATCGACTATTCGCAGCTGCAGGTGATGTATGGTCTTGGTGGCGATCGGTAGATAAATGACGTGCGATAGCACCCCTATGATCTTGTATCCGGGTGGCACGACCGGAAAGAATTCGTATATGGTGTGCACTTTACGTTCGTTGATGTAAGCGACCGTCGCGACGCTGCATTCGACTCGTAGAGCGTTCATCTTAAGAATGGCGACCAGTACGTCGGACGTGTGTAATTTATTAGCTTTCAGAACGCGTTGAGTGAAACCTAACAAGCGACCTATGGAATCATTGGGTCGAAAGTCGACATCACGGTTGCACTTAATTTCGCTGCACAACGTATTATTGTTAGGTTTAATTTGAATGACGATGCTCTTGTCCGTCAACGCGCTATGCACGTAGTTTTCGATATCTTCGATCTCGTAGCTACCAGTAGGTATAGTGATAACTTCATCCCCCACGTACAGCTTGTTGTGATCCGTGTCCACGTTGGGAATAGAATTGAAGGTCAGCAACTCGATGAGTCCCAGAGCGTAATTTTTGTACGGAGAAAGCTCGATAGGAGGGAAGTATTCGGCTTCCAGTATGGAGGAGGTGCCTGATAAAGTTAACGTGAATGAATCCTCCATGATTGCAAACGCTCGACTGACCTTATGAAATTACATAGCAAGGTTATATAGATGATACTTGTTTTTACGATTTAATTGTCCACATAGGAACTTTAGACAGAAGTGTCCACATGCAAAAGTATCGTACTCCTGATATCGCTTGTAAGTGTACTTTACACTACCAACACCGAGATATCCGATAAGATCTAGCGGCCTGTTCGCCGCCCCTCTGTGTTCGATGCTCTCTCGATTCTTCGAGTAGGCGATATTGTGCTCGTTGCAGGCTGCGTCCAGGGGGTTGATGCCCGGATCGCTTCGCGCGAGTCTCTTTGCTAGTTTCGTACCGGGCACACAGTACTGATAACCGGGTATATGTAACTCAACGGGTAGACTGTTGATGATTCTGTTGACTAATCCTCCGCCACGATGAGATTTTTTCCTCCCAATGCGTTTACGCTTAGAATGCACGATCATGTCCCTGCGGTGAAACAGTTCCGACTGAACAGCGATCCTTACAAACTCGTCATTTATAGTTTCCACGTAAGTCAAGTTCGAGATGAGATTCGAGAAACAGTCCGTCAGACTACCTGTAACGAACTTTGACAAAATCGTGCGAGTAAAGGAGAAGAAGGATGCCAAGTGACACGGCAAATTACTACTAAACAGTATACGAGCAGTGTTTTGTGGACCATCCAATTACGGCAAGACGAACGCATTGCTCGCTCTCATAACCCATCCCAACGGATTAAGATTCGAAAACGTCTACGTATACTCAAAATCGCTTGATCATCCAAAGTACAAATTTTTAGAACGTTTACTCGCATCCGTAGACGGCATCGAGTACTTTCCCTTTACGGAACACGAACAAGTGCTGCCACCGAACGAGGCACGTCAAAACTCGATAACTATTTACAACGACATAGCTTGCAAGAAGCAAGATAACATCAGAGCCTTCTTCAGCATGAGGCGTCACAGGGACGTTGACTGTTTCTATCTGGTACGGGACAATGCTAATCTGCTGGTGCTTTTTAAGCAGGATGAAATGAATCTCAAGCACGTGTACGTGACCATGTAAACACTGATATGACTTACGCGCAGTTTAAAGACCTGTGTTCGACATGCTGGAACGGTGATAAGTATGAGTTTCTCGTAATCGACAAGGACAGCGACCTCGTCGGTGGTAGATACAGAAAAGGATTCGATTGCTTCGTGAGCATAAATGAGTCATCATTGAAAAATGAATGCAGTAGCGTTTTGATTCAGCAGTGTCAACATGCAAAGAAAACTTCAGGAGCAAAAAGACGTCTTACGCCAAATCGCTAAAGCCAGCGATGCGATTCGCAAAAAGCATAGAATGATAAAATTGGGTAGAGAGAACGTCGAATAGACGATGAGTGAGGTTTTGAAACTGGTAGTGACTCCACTACAGAAACTAGTGACTGCATCTCAGCCGGAGCGTAGTCTTATCAAGGACGAGATTAAGGATGAAGTAAAGCAAGACATCGAAGCGGATGATACGTTTAGAACGGCAGATGAATCCATATAGGCGATACGACTTACTTGAAAACTGCGGGTTTGATCGAACTCTTGTTCAGGAAGGTACCTGATGAGACTAGTGTAACCCAGGATGACTTGGACAATTACAAAAACATTATTTTAACAACGAATGCACATAGAAAGTACTATAAACCTAATGGTGCAATTCGTAAGAGCAAGAGTTTCAAATTTAATAACGTTATTGCAAAACTGATAGAACAGCCCTTTGTAACGGGTAAAGGTATATTACCGCGGTACATGATAGTTGCCAAGGACGAACGAACGCATTACGTGTACTGGGACGATCCCAAGAACTGGTAGACCGGCTTCGCCTGCTCCTTGGGTCTCGGGAAGCTGGTAATCCCAGTCACTCGAACGAAATCGTATCGATTATCGAAGAATTACGCGAGGCGGGTATCATTTATTAATTCGATAAAACGATCACGATCGTCACTTTGAATATGAGCGTCGACGTGTTTGGACGTCAGTTGAGTAGCAGAAGCACAATTACGAGCAGCCGTGGTCTCATTGGCGCTGGATTCAAATTTATTGCTGCTGGACACTACGACATTGATAACAAGAGGTTGTGCAACGTCGCCGCCTTGGGACCGTGATTCGAAAAATCACGTCACAATATATATTGTAACGTGACAAAACGATCAGCCTCTCAGTACTCCTGTACTGAGAGCGCACCCGTTACAAAGGGACGACAAGGACACGCGGCTAGTATCAACCCGCGCCGATAGATGGAGAACGTCTCCCGAAAGTCAAAACGCGGAAAGTTAGTATCAAAGTAATCCGATAGATGATTAGCGCTTCTCGCTAGCAAATATCGGATTACAATTCGTGAAATACGACATTTCAAGTCAATCGAGGGAAGTAAGTTACAAATCCTAATCCTTAGAGGGGATAAACGGAGGTTAGTCAGAAATCCGGGTAACGAGAACGATAGTTAAAAATTGAACCGACCATTTAATAAAATTTTGTTATTTTATTTTACGTTACCCACCTATGTCGACTACATTCTTAAAGACGCCAGCCCCGAGCACTTACCTGAATCCCATTTCGTACACTCATAAGGAGCGTACGAAATTGCACTATCAAAAAACGTTACAATATATATTGTAACGTATTTCTTTAACTTGACCCGACACCGATAGCAAGACATACGGGAACAACTATCTTCGAGAACCAACCTACGTTACCTTCGGCCGTCCACCCGTCGTTCGTGCATCCGCAAGCCAGGCGGGCCCCAGCCAATTCTTTTTTCACCGGGAACTGACAAGCCGGTATAACTGGGAGTTGGGGTGGAACAGGCCCAACTCCACCAAGAACGAGAGCTCTGACGGAACCTATCAGAGGAGGCGATAGCTTAACGGATCCTGTCGATTTTTGGGGACGCGTAAAATCGAGAAACGCAACCGTAGGTGCTGATCTTTGGGGTCGCGTAAAATCAGCAAACGCAACTGGATACACGAACGGGAGCGGACGGTTACGGAAATGCACGGCCCCTCAGGCTGCTAGGTTTGAGGTAGAGAGGGTCGGAGTAAGAGTCCGGCAAATAGTGCGAG